AAAGGGTGCAAAAAATTGAACTGTTTTACTCTTCCTTTTACCAGTTTATCGGTTTGTTTTTGAAGGGGTTATTTGCGGGTATAGGAGTGTTGTTTGGTTGTTTTACTTGGTTTTTTTTTTTTTTTTGTGTGTTTCGGTTAATACAAATATACCTTTTCATAAAGGGCTGTTATTCTTTCCCTTTTCCAGAATTTGTTTTCCTTCAATCGGAACCTCTTAATTTTGGATTTAACATTGCTTAGAAAGAGAAGTTTGGGTCTTTTCTCCTAACCTATCCTCAGCAAAAGACCCTTCTCTCATTTAAACTGGGACACTGTAACAGGACACAACAAGCTCTGCAACCCCGATGATCCCACGGCGCCCCCTGTTTCCTGTGGTTAGAATTGCACCAATAGGCACAAACTGAAATGTTTCCTTTTTTCTTTGCTTTTTTATTGGTATATTTTAAAGGGGATTAATTGTGGGTATAGGAGTATTGTTTGGTTGTTTTACTTGTTTTCTTTCATTGTTTCCGCCAATACACATATATCTGTAATCAAAGGGCTGTTATTTTTCCTTTTTCCACATTTTTTCCCCTCAATTGGAACCTCTTAATTTTGTATCTACAATTGCTTAGAGGGGGGAGTTTTTGGGTCTTCCTCATAACTCATCCTCAGCAAAACCTCTGTGTCTCATTTTAAACTGAGACATCAGGAAGTTGTAGCCAGGTGGGGGTCAGTATCTTCAAGACAAGCAGCAATACGACAAGAGAACATGGTCTTAAGCTGCACCAGGGGCGGTTTGTGTTGGACATTCAAAAGACTGGGGGATTGGGCATTGGAATGGGCTGCCAAGGGAGGTGGTGGAATCATCATCCCTGGAGGTGTTAAAGAAAAGACAGGATGTGTCACTCAGTGCATGGGTTGGTTGACAAGGTGGTGTTGGGGCATAGGTTGGACTCGATGATCTCAGAGGTCTTTTCCAACCTCATTGATTCTGTGATTCTTTCATGGCCCCTTCGTCCCATGAGGTTGTGCAGTGGTAAAATGGTCCTTTTTATCCATGAGGTTCCACATGTCACAGTGGTCCTTTTGTTCCATGAGTTCCCATGAGTGTCCCAGGATTCTTTTGGTTCCATGAGGCTTCTCAGTGCCACAATCCCCTTGATTTCATGAGGTTCTGCAGTGTCACAACAGTCTCTTGGTTCCATTAGGCCCTGCAGTGTCACAGTTGCCCCTTGGTTCCATGAGGTTCCACAGTGTCCCAGGATTCCTTTGGTTCCATAGGACTGACATTGGGTTTGGAGACATCACAGATCTAGTGATGGCTGCAGCAGAATGTGCCACAGAAAATTTCTGTGTAACCAAGCTGCTGTGCAAGGAAACCAGCAAAGCAAAGAAACAGGAAGGGAAGGAACTTGTGGTTAACAGAAGCAGCAAAGCAGGCAAAGAATCTCAGAATATGCTGAGTTGGAAGGAACCTGTGAGGATCACTGAGTCCAACCCTCGGCCCTGCACAGGACCATCCCCAAGAGTCACACCTTGTGCCTGAGAGCGTTGTCCAAACACTCCTGGAGATCTGTTGGCCTTGGTGCTGTGCCCACTGCCATGGGGAGCCTGTTCAGTGCCCTACTACCCTCTGGGGGAAGAACCTTTTCCAGAGATCCATTCTAACCCTCCCCTAACACGGTTCCAGGCCATTCCCTGGGTCCTGTCCCTGGTCGCCCCAGAGCAGCGCTAAGGGCCTACCCCTCCTTTGCCCCTCTCCAGGAAGTTGGAACTGCAGTGAGGTCTCCCCTCAGTGTCCTCTTCTCCAGCTGAAGTGTCCTCAGTGTCCTTACATAGCTTCAGATCAAACCCTTCCCCATCTTTGTTGCCCTCCTTTGGACACTCTAATAGCTTATCTCTCTTCCATTGTGTCCCCAAACTGCCCCAATATTGCAGGTGAGGCCACCTCAGGGCAGAGTAGAGTGGAAAAATCCCCTCCCTGATGCTCCCAGGGCAGGGTTGGCCCTCCTGACTGCCAGGGCACTGCTGACTCAGGGCCAACTGGCCACCCACCAGAACCCCCAGGGCCCTTTCCTGGCTCTGCTTCCCAGCCTCTCATTCCTAGTGTTTCCATCAGTCTGGGGTTGCCCCATTCCAGGGCAGAATCCGGCTCTTCCCCCTGTTGAACTTCCCATGATTGGTGATTCCCATCCCTCACATCTGTCCAGGTCTCTCTGCAGGACCTCCCTGCCCTCAGGGGACTCAACAGCTCCTCCCAGTCATCTTCAGACTTGCTCAGTGTCCCTTCCAATGCTGTCACCAAGTCATTGATGAAAATGCTGAAAAGCACAGGGCCTGGGATGGAGCAACTGGGATCATATTGGGAGTGACTGGGATCATACTGGGACTGGGATCATACTGTATGTGACTGGAACCATATTGGGGGTGCCTAGGTACACAGTGGGATCATACTGGAGAGACTGGCGTTACAGGAGTGTGAATGGAACCTTACAGGGGGTTACTGGGAGTTCCTGGGCCCACCCTTGGAGGCAACTGGGAGCACGTTGGAAGCAACTGGAAATACTGGAACCATGCTGAGGGGGACTGAGACCACCTCTGGAGAGCAACTGGCATCACAGTTTGGGCTACTGGGAACAATGGAGGCAATCTGGGATCACCTGGAAGCAACTGGGAGTAACTGGGAATGACTGGGTATATGCTGGACGAAACTAGGATATCCTGGGAGGGACTGGGATCATAGCGGGGGTGACTGTAGCAAAGCAAAGGTGAGAACAAGGAAAGGAAGGCCTGGGAAATGTCTAGATGGCCTTGTCTTGTTTATCTGAAGCCTTGATTTAGGGTCCAGGGGATGGAGCTGAGCTCGTGGGGGGAGGGTGGAATAACTGCAGACTCTGAGGTCTGGGTGTGGTGTGTGTGATGGGCCAGCCTGGGTATGATTGAGGAGTGACCTGCAGCTGTGTTCTGCCTTGATTTGCTTAACCACTCCCAGTGGGAAGCGAATGAGATAAAAGCCCTAGATCATGAGCAATGAAGTGATTTTTGCCCATCAAGCCAGGAGTCACAGGTAACTGAATCTCCCACTTTTCCAGAGATTTCCAGTTTTGCCATTGTTTTTTCTGTATGTTGCCTGAAGGTGAACACCAACCCTTTGTGCCACTGGGTTCAAATGTGATGGCTTTGGATCATGCTCTGTTTTGTCATCAGTTGAAGGCTTGACTGCCAGAGGAGGCTTAGGATGAACAGACCTATGAGAGGTACTGGGTCCTGAAGTACACATTGCATTGCCTTGACTTGCTCATTTCTCGAGTGCTGCTTTCCTAGCCTGTTGTAATCCTTGAGGAATTTCTGCTCTGGGGATTTTGAAGGGTTGACTTGGAGCAGGATCATCCTCTGTGTCTCTGCTGCCTCTGTCAAATTTCTCCTTGAGTAACCTCATCTGTGACTTGCAACTCATAGTTGAGATATTTCTGTCTCCACAAGTCTGCTGAAGAGGATGTCCTGCACTGGAGTCAAAGATGTTCTTTGCCCTTTGATGATAACGTCCCTTTTTGTCCCTGCCCTTACTGGGGCAACTGGGAGTCCCTGGGAATGACTAGGGTGACTAGGATGTACTGGAACTGTCTGTAACCATAGTGGAGTCATAAACTCCCCCCCACACACACCTTCTCTGCAGAGGAGAGGAAAAAAAACCAGTTAAAGAATTTCTAAGTTAAGAACTGGGGGACTTATTTACTAATGAGAAAAACAGAGTCAAAGTGGGGATAGAACTTAAATTTGTTGCTAACGGGATAAAAATTAAAAAGTGAGAAATAGACCAGTCTTAAACAAACACCTTCCCTCCTCCCCCCTTCCTTGCATGTTCTCCCTTCTTCCTCCAGCAGTGCAGAGGATGGGGAAGGGGGAAAAGGTCACAGCCAGATGTTGCTTCTGCCGCTGTTAAAGTGCGTCTATCTCTTTAACCGCAGCTCTTCCCAATCCACTGTCCTGGGGGTCACTTCTTCATGGGGGTGAAGGGGTCTCTGCACTCCAATGGTCTTCTGTGGTGTATAGGGGGACAACCTGCATTACCATAGTCTTCACCATGGGCTGGGGGGGGGGAGTAATGGCTCTGAGTCCTTCCCCTGTTTCTGTGGGGTCCCTTCCCACGGGAGACAGTCCCTGATGGACTTCTCCAGCGTGAGTCCATTCCTCGGGCAGCAGTTCCGCCTAATCTGCTGTCCCTTGAGTCACTCTTCCATGGGGTGCAGTCCTTCACAGACAAGCTGCACTGACGTGGGTCCCTTACCGGGATCCCAAGTCCTTCCTGGGACAACTTGCTCCAGCACGGGTGTTTCTCTCCACAGGCCACAGGTCTCCAGCAGGACTCTGCTTCATCCTGAGTTTCCCACAGGGTCACAGCCCACAGCCTCCTTCATGCAACTCCCAGTTTCAGCATGAGCTCTTCCATGAGCTGCAGGGCAAAGGGTCTCTGCACCCCAATGGTCTTCTACCAGTGGCAGGGACATTGGCTCTCAGTCTTTCCCCCTGCTGGAGGGGAAGAGGGGGGGCCCCTGGGACCCCCTCCCTTGCCCCCCTCTTCCCCTACTGCACTGACCTTAGAGTCTACTAGTTATCTCATGTTCTCTTCTGCTCTTCTCCCTGCTGGGATTTTCTTGTGCACAACACTCTCTGTTTCTAAATATGTTATCCCAGAGGCATTCCCGTGATTTCTAATTGTCTGCTGGCCTTGGACAGAAGCAGGAAATCCGTCCTGAAGCTGGCCATCATTGGCTGCATGGGACAAGAGAAACTACTAGCAGTTTCTGACTGAAATTGCCCTTGTAGCCCCTGCTTGCTACCAAAAAAACACAACCAGCCACAGAAACCCACGACAGGGGGTGACTGGGACTGCACTGGAAGCAACTGGGACCACACAGGGAGGGAACTTGGAGTGACTGGGTCTACACTGGGGAAAACTGGAAATGACTGGGACCCTGCTGGGGGAGACCAGGATCATACTGGCAGTGACTTGGGCTATGCTGGGGGAAATTGGGACTGTGTTGTGGGCAAGTGGGATATAGTGTCATTTATGTCTTCATACATCTCTACATCACCTTCTTGGCCCCCCTGTGTACTTCCATGATCCTGTAAAACAAATACCACATCATCATAATTTTCTTCACTTTATGGGGCAGAGCTGGGCTTGATGTTTCTGGGAGGCAGACTGGGAGCTTCCATAACCTCCAGGTCTGGGTGAGAGATTGGTTTAGGGGATGGAAACTGTGTAGCACGATCTAATAGAGGCACCAGTGGGGCAAAACCAAAAGATCCTATCAGTTTGAAACCTTCATTTCCAGATGTCTTTTTTGGGGTCCTCCTCTGGTATCCTTGCAGTTCTACACTTAGAGGTCTATTGGGCTTTGCTGAGGATGTGGATGTCTTGAACTCTGGGGCCAAGACTCTCTGCCTGGGTGTGGGAGAACCATCTTCTTTCCCTCGTGTTTCATATGATGACCTTACTGCACCAAGTTTGCTGTATTGGTCTTACAAAACTTATGAGGAGAATCTGATCCTTCCTGGATGACTTTCTTGGCAACAGTGGTCTTGATAACGCTCATTGCCTTTTCTTCAGTCTCTTTCTTCACGTTTCTGAAGGTGCCTTAAAATAAGGTCTGCGAGTGGCCAGCAGGCTTCAGACCTATTTTAGGAAGATGACTGCCTGCAGCTTCTGCCGCTGAGTTATTTTCACCCAGGTTTTGCTCCCAGAGTATTTTTTTCTTTACCAGGAGGAGCAGAGCTGGGGAACTTGTTCCATGCAGGTTTTGGGTGTAGAGGCTTTGGGTCTTTTGCCAGGTAACAGGTTTTGATGGAGAATTTAGTGCATTCACTTTTTTCATAGTTTTCTCTGCTTATTGGTTGAAGATAAACACCAGACACTTGTGCCACTGTATTCAGATGTGGTTGCTTTCATTCATCCTCTGTGTCATCACAAGTTGATGGCTTGACCACCAAAGAAGGCTTACAAGAAATGGTTCTATAGGAGGTACTGGGTCCTTCAGTGCACGTGGCATTTCCTTGAGCTGCTAGTTTCTCAAGGGCTGCTTTCTGTGCCTGTTGTCTTTCTTCAGGAACTTGTGTTTCCGGGATTTTTAGGGGTTGACTGTGAGCCAGATCCTCCTCTGTGTTTCTGCCACCTGACTCAAATTCCTCCATGAGAAACCTTGCCCAAGACTTGTGAATAAAACTTAAGATATTTCTGAGTCTACAAGTCTGTTGCAGAGGATGTCCTGGACTGTAGTCAAAGATGTTCTTTCCCCTTTGATGTTAATGTTCCTTTTTTAAGCTCTGCCAGGGGAGGTTTAGGTTGGATATTAGAAAGAAGTTCTTTACAGAGAGATTGATCAGGCATTGTGTAACAGGGTGAGTTCGAATGGATGCTGAGATTGAAAACCAAGACACGGCTGGAAGCTCAACAATAAACCGAATATTTATTACAGAAAGTGGCCAAGTAAACGGGAACCCAAGAGACAGGAAAGGAGAGGAGTAAACTAAGCCCTCAATGAAACCCCCGCTCACGCAGGTGTGTTTAATCCACGCCGTAAAATAGCAAGGCACAAGCTAAATGAAGCACTTCAAGTTATAATGTTACCGGTTTATCTTGAGGTTGATGCGAACCAGGGCCCATAGGGAGGTTCATGAATTGCAGTCCTTCATTAGCAGCCATACCAACCAAACACTTTGTTTTTCAACACGTTTTGTCTTGCCTTTTTTTTTTTTTTTTTCCTTTCAGTCTTCAGTGCCTCACATTTTAGTAGATCACAATCACATATATTCACTTGGCTTCGTAAATCAAAGGTCTCTTCCGTGTGCCGCAGCAATTGGGGCAAGGGGGGCAGGGGGGAGGAGAGAGATATTCCAATCAATTCTTGCCACTTGTTGTACGACTATTGAGACAAAAACACAGAAATATGAGCACTGCAAGACAAGCAGTGTAACAAAACCATACCAATTGTCATCAAATACAGTAGAAAAGTGTCACAAAACGTATGGTTGCTGCATACATCCAAGCATCAGAGGTCTTCTTAACCATGGAATTACAAATCCCTGGGTCCATTAGGGTGAGAAAACCTGCTAGGCAAAAGAACAACCAATCCATTTTTAGTGTGCAAGATATGTGTTCTGGAACAAATGGGCTAATGCTGGAGCAATCACATCAATGACTGTGGGGCCATCTATGCGTGTTCGCTTGGATACCTGAATGGGGACAAAATAGAGGGAAAAAATGGGGGAAAAGAGGTTATAAGCCAATACTCGCTCCCCCGATGAGTTTACTCCCATCGTCTTGGGTGTTGGGGTAGGACCCTTTTCAATTCTGTTTGACCCTCTCTCATAGTTCTGATTTTAGAAAGGAATTTTGTCTTC